GAACCACCGACCTTGCAGTTCAAACGACTTTGCAGTCTGACGTATTAACCCACAGCGCCACACCAGGACTCCAGTGGTTAAGGTACTAGGCTGCAAATCGGTCCAGCAGATGGAACCTGAGCAAACTGCCACTTCAAGGGAGAAAGATGAGGCTGGCTGCTTCCATAGAAAGATTGACTTTGGAAACACGTTAGTGTCACTAGGAGTTGGAATGGACTCAGTTGGCTTGGCTGTTTGGGTTTGGTGGTTTAATGAGCCTGGTTTGTGTCCTTGGAGTTTTGTGACCCTGTAGTTATCTGTGTTAACTGTCCTCACACACTGCTGGACACTTCACAAGCACTCATGCAGCAAATACTGGCTTAGTGCCTATGATGTGGGACCCTGGTGCAGCAATGTAGGATAAGCACTGACTACTAACCACAAGGTAGGCAGGTCAAACCCACAGCTGCTCCTTGGGAGCCTTACACAGGGTTGCTATGAGTCAGAGCTGACTTGAAGACACATGGCAACATTACCACCACCTATAACGTGCTAAATACTCTTAGGCATGAGGTAAACAGTGGCAACTAAAATCCATAAGGTTGTTTCAGGTACTGTGAACTGATGAAAACAAGAATATGCTGTGATGGAGTGCCGGTGGCTGTCAGGTGATCAAGGATAACCCCTAGAAGAGGCATGTGCCCTCGCGGTGCTTAGTGCTAATTACACGGGGCTCAGACCCACACCTGGCTCTGCATAAGTCCTCACCGCAAATCTGTATGTAGCGAACATCTTCCCACTAAGGAAATTTGGTGTGACCCTCCCGGAGGTGGGAAAGAATCCCTGCCCTGTGGTTCTTTATTTGAAGCACAGCTTTGAAGGTTCGAATCTTCTGCAGCTTCATTTTGGCCTTGGGCATATGACAAGCCTCAAGATTCCTCAACCACATGAGAACTCAAAAAGTTGAGGGGCCTGGTAAAGATCTGTGCTGTGCCCTGAATGACCGGAAGCAGGAAGCAGCCTGCCATGTGGGGATCTGGGAGAAGTGCAAAGGCCAGGAAGTGAGTAGGAGCTCTGCCTTTGAGGACTAGGAAGAAGGGATCCCTGGGAAAACACTGTGTGCTGCATATCGCTAGGGGGCGCCATTTATGTGTTCATTGAGATTTCGCTACTTGGGGAATGCAGGCTGTTTGACTGGAGTCCAGAGAAAGAGGGATACCCGGAGCACTGGGAGACAATCATGGCCCCTTCATGGAAGGCTGGGTGTGGTAAGCAGCCTCCAAGATGGCCGCCAGTCGTCTCCATCCTCTGGTATCTTCACTTTGGTGATCCCCTCTTTCCCTGGGTGGACTGGGCCTAGTGACTTCTTTTAAAGGAATATTGCAAAAATGGTGGGATATGATCGCCAAGATAAAGTTTCAAAGATGAGCTTTCATATCTTGTTGGCTCTGCAGGAAGCCAGTTGCACTGCTGTTGGCTATCTGCAGAGGTCCTTATGGGAGAAAGATGGGGCCGTCTGCTCCCATATAATTCGTTACTGCTGTTAAGTGCTGTTTAGTCAGTTCTGACTCAGCAATCCTGTAGAGGGTTTCTGAAGAGCTGCTGGTGGGGTTTAATTGCCCAAACTCTGGTTAGCCATCCAGTGCTTGTCCTACAGTGCCACACCAGGACTCCTTGGAATCCCCAGGTGGTAGCTCTACTTTGTCCTTTGAGATGGAATTGACTCAGCAGTAACAAGGCCTACGGCATACCAGGGGGCTTTCAAAAGCTTGCGAATTCTTTATCTCACATGCTCTTACAGTACTGAATAATATAGTCCAGAAATAAAGCTAGACAAATAATTTAAATACTGTTCTATTCACAGCATCATTAGTGATTTAACACAGTATGACTTTTCTTAATTATATTTATCAATCCCAGGGGATTGGATGGCTTGGAAGAATGTTGTTGGCAGTTGATTTATTTATCTGTTGTTTGGTTTGCTGACGTATTCATTCATTATCTCCAGATCACTGAGCTTGACCAAATTATAGTGGGAAGTGGCTGTTATAAAATGGGAGTCTCTGGATTTGCATGAATGACCTGGTTGCACCAATATTGGTTCTTTCTCGTCAATGTGAATGCTGATACCATTAATGTGGATATTTGTACTAGACTTTATAGCGTAGTGGTTACGAATCGGACTGCAAACCGCAAGGTCATCAGTTCAAAACTGCCAACTGTTCTGCGGGAGAAAGAGGAGGCTTTCTGCTCCTGTAAAGATTTACAGCCTCAGAATCCCTGTACAGGGTCGCTATGAGTTGGAACCAACTCCATGGCACATAACCAACCAACCAAGTCCATTAAATGAAATTTTAATCTTAAAATAAATAAAATAAAGCTTGCGGAACAATGGAATTAAAAGATAGTGGCATTTTACCATGAACTTTTAAAATACCTCTTGTACACTCAATAAATAATCATTTATAAAAAGGTTTATAATGGAAAAATTCAAACATACTTTGAAAGAAGACTAGTATACTGAACTTCCAGATTCCCTTCTACCAGCTTCACCTATATATGGCCAAATTGTTTCACTGAAGTCTCCTACCCTTTTTCTCCTCTGCTAGAATTAGTTTGAAGTGAATCCCAGACATCCTGTTATTTCAGTATCAGTAGAGATTTAATTAAGTATGGGTAAGTCAAAAATTGCTACTAGGGTTTCAGGTGATACATGCACAAGGCTGATTCTCAATAAAATGTGTTTAAACACGTCTCTGTGATCAATGGATGAGTACAAATTCTCTCAGTAATAACACTTGTTTTACTCTCACTAGAATGCCTTCGCAGAAAAGGTCCAATCAAAGCAGTGGTTTCCAAGGGCATCTACTGGGCCAGTTCAATGCAGAGAGATAGAAGGTTATGTTGACTGATTTCTGAGATTTCAAAGGGCAAGTCTTGATAGATTTTCTGGGACAATCATGGTGGCATATTAAGAGTAAGTTTTAAGAAAATGGAAAGCTGTATTGGTGAGAAAAAGGCCAAGAAAGTTGTGCCAAGGAATTTTCTTCCCATCTGTTAATTCTTCCAGGGTAACGGAGGCTATCCTATGTTGGGAGACTTTACCCTAGCCAGCCTACAACCCTGATCTTTTCCCTTCCGAGATTTCTGTTTGTGACCCAAATGAACACAATTTGAGTCTTTGCAGGATGCCAAAATTACAATTGATGTATAATATCAAAGAGCTCAGAATTCTAGGAAGAGAATTTTTCAGGGAAGAGTAATTGTTAAGTGCTATCAAGTCAGTTCCAGCTCAGCAACCTGATACAGGGTTTCAAAGGAGTAGCTGGGGGGTTTGAACCGCTGACACTTGCAGTTAGCAGTCCAGTTCTTGTCCTACAGCACTACACCAGAAGTCCTCAGGAAATTGTTGTTGTTAACAGTGCCTTTGAGTCGGTTCAGATTCATAGTTTCCAAGGAGCAGCTGGTAAGTTTGAGCCACTGACTGCCTTCAGAAATGTATAGAGCTAGATGGAGGATTTGTTGAGAAACAAGACTTTCACTTTTTGATACCTTTAATAACGGTTTCTATGATTTTGTAGCACTGTTTTCTGACTTGCCCTGCTCTATCTCTGAAAGATAAAAGCATAAGTCCAGGACCACACCTTTAAGAATAACAATGTAGCATATCTTTCACATCATGGACTATTCAGTCAGGATTCTGGTTTCAATATAGATTTGGATATGTTTGGTTTGAGTCAGAATCCAAATAAGTTTTGCACGTTGTGACAGGTTGGGATGTTCCTTTTTGTTGTTGTTATGTGCCGTGGAGTTGGTTCCGACCCATAGCGACCCTGTACAGGGTTTCCGAGGTTATAAATCTTTACGGGAGCAGAACGCCTCATCTTTCTCCCGCGGAACAGCTGGTAGTTTCGAACTGCTGACCTTGTGGTTTGCAGCCTGATTTGTAGCCTCTACGCTACCAGAGCTCCTTTGGGATGTTCCTTAGAGTCTGTTAATTTGGAACACACCTCCATCTCATTTTTGGGGTCTTTTGTGCTGCCAGTTTATTAAAACAAGTCAGATTGGCTCTCTTGTTGAGATTCCCATAGTCTGGATCTCCTCGCATGAGGTCTGCTTTTGGTTTTGGGGTATACTGTATTTTTGTGTCCTCGGTGTTCTCTTAAATCCCTTAAATGGGTACATTTAACCCTTAAAGAACTCTATGAGGCAAGACAGCATAGTAAAGGCTGTGGCCCCGAAGTCAAATCTAGCCCCTCCCACTACAGCAGACCACTTCTTTAACTAACTCTGTATGAACTACATGTGAAATGGGTTTACAGTCACCCTCATGGGGTGTGTATGTGTGTGTGCAGATTATCCAAATGAGTCAATAAAGTCAGACATTTCAACAATCCATGGTGAATGTTACTAGTAACGTTTATTAACCCCATTTTACAGATGAGAAAATCGAGACTGTCAAGGAGAAAGAGCCCAGTTCACCCAGTCAGAAAATGGCTCGTGAGGGTTAATAATGATCAGAGTAAGACATTGCCTAGCCTAAGGCTCAACATACAGTATTCACCCAGTAGTTGGAAGCTAGGGCTGGTGTTCCCTGCAATCAAAGGCTGCCTTGTTCGGCCCCTTAGCACAGGAAATTCCAAGGTGGCTTTCCACATTGGCTCCTTTGGTTCTGCCCCTAGAGGGGACAGTAGAGGGGGCCCAGGTACCTAAGCAGACCCAAAAGAAGATGGAATCAAGTATCTCAACGGCCTGTCTGGACCTCTCTTGATGGTTGAGGGGGAGGCTGCTACTTGCAGTGGCTTTGACTGCTTTGGTTGTATCTAAGCATTTCCATGGGCTATCAGCCCTCACCCTGTCTTTGAAATGGTTCTGGCTGAGTAGCAGCCTCTAGTCAGTGGAGATGAAATTTGGGATTGGTTTAAGGCGGGGACAAGACCGACAACACACACTTCCTTGTACTGGGGCTGGAGAGAGCCAGGGCAGGAGGAAATTGGAGCCCCCATTCACTACAGTGCACGATGGCTTGGTCTCCAGTGGCCCTTGGTGTCATCGTCTTGCTGTCTACACTCCCAGGGCCTAGTATTGGGGGTCGTGCCATGCCCAAGATGGCTGACCGGAAGTTGTGTGCTGATGAGGAATGCAGCCGTAAGGGGTCGGGGGGTGCGGGGGATCGGGGCCTGGACTGCCTGCTGGTCTGTGTGTTGTGGGGGCTATCATACCCTTTTGTTCCTTCCTCAGATCCCATCTCCATGGCTGTGGCTCTTCAGGACTATGTGGCTCCTGACTGCCGCTTCCTGACCATATATAGGGGCCAAGTGGTGTATGTCTTCTCCAAGCTCAAGGGTCGCGGACGGCTTTTCTGGGGAGGCAGCGTGAGTCTTGGGCGAGCAAAAGAGGGAAGGACAGAAGGTTGAGGTGGGAGTGCACCCCCATTACCACCTGAAGGGAGAGCTGGGAACAGATTGAGACATGATGGGGGATTTCACTGGTTAGCAGTCATCACTTAACTTGGATTGACACTGAAAATAAAGCAGCTAACCAAACTAAACCAATCCCACTGCCGCTGAGTCGATTCTGACACCTAGCAACTCTATAGGGCAGACTAGAACTGATTCTGGACTAAATCTTTATAGGACCAGACAGCCTCCTGTCCCTTCTGCAGAGCAGCTAGTGGGTTTGAACTGCTGACCTTGCAGTTAGCAGCCCAACTCTTAAGCCATTACACCACCAAATTCACTGCCATCAAGTTGTCATTTCAAATACTTAGCAACCTTGTTGTTGTTGTTAGGTGCCATCGAGTTGGTACCAACTTATAGCGATGTTATATGCATAACAGAACAAAATCCTGCCCGGTCCCGGGCCAAACTCACAATTGTTGCTATACCCAAGCCCACTGCTGCTGCCACTGTGCCAATCCGGCTCGTCAGGGGAGGGTCTTCTTTTTCTCCGCCTCTGTGTTTCCTAAAATTTAGCCACCGGAAACCTTATGTGGAACACTATCTTTCTTCCACAGAGTAACTGGTGGGTTTGAACTGTCAGCCTTGCAGTTAGCAGTCTATTGCTTATCCTAAAGGGCCAGGGCTCCCTTTTATTCTAATGGTGAAGAATGGGTAACAAGCAAGTTGATAATTAATATAGAGAGGGCTTGTTGTTGTGAAGTGCCATTGAGTTTTGACTCATATCGACCCTGCATCGAGTTTCCAAGGAGCAGCTAGTAAGGTTAAACCGCTGACTTTGTGGTTTAAACTGACTTTATGGTTGGGTGCTTATCCTACAGCACCACATCAGACGGGTTGTCGTGGTCTGCGTGATGTGTTGTGGAGTCAGTTCTGACTCATAGTGACCCTGTACAGGGTTTCCGAGGCTGTAAATCTTTACGGGAGCAGAAAGCCTCATCTTTCTCCCACGGAACAGCTGGTAGTTTTGAACTGCTGACCTTGAGGTTTGCAGTCTGATTTGTAACCAGTACACTACCAGAGGGACAGGGATGGAGAACCTTTTTTTTTTTTTTTGCCAAGAGCCATTTAGATATAGAACATCATTCATGGGCCATACAAACTTATCAGCTTAAAAATTAGCCTGCTATGTTTGGTCAAACATTTAATGAACTCACCCCTAATGAGATGGTTGTGGTGCTGTGGGTTAATGCGCTGGACTGCAAGGGCGGTTTGAGCCACAAGGTTGGTGGTTTAAGATCACCAGCTGTTCTCGGACACTCAGATATAGGGTCACTATGAGTCGAAACTGGACTCCATGGCACTTCACAAGAATGTGATGGCTGGAACTGCATTTCCCTTGGCAGGCCCAGACCAATTGATTTCGTAGGCCTTATATGGCCTGTGCTAGATGCCCCTGAGACAGAGTGACTGGGTGGCTATTTTGTATCAGGACATCAGGGAGGGTCTCTAGGTGAGGTGACATGTAAACTGAGACCGGGATGACAAACCAGTTAAGTGGAGATCAGAGGGAAGAGACTGTGCCATGTCCCCGGACCCCAGCTTTGAACTCCTCATTCTCAGGTTCAGGGAGATTACTATGGAGGCCAGGCCGCCCGCCTTGGCTACTTCCCCAGTAGCATTGTCCGCGAGGATCAGATTCTGAAACCTGGCAAAACTGATGTGAAGACAGATGTGAGTATCTGAAGGTGGGCCCTTGATTAATTACCATGATGGGTTGACACATAGCTATATATGTGTTGGGACAAATTATTTCCCTGCCGCTGTTTTCTAGCATGTAAAATGAGGAAGGATTCCTAAGCTTAGTTGAAGTGGTAAATGCAAAGATTAGGGGGTTCTAGGCTAATTTGCATAATACTTGGTCTTTCCTGCCCCCTGTGGCTACAGTGTTTGATTAAAAACAAACATTGGATCCCTTGTGACGTGACAACTACTTTTCTCTGCAATTTCCCTCTTCTCTTTTCCAGAAATGGGATTTCTACTGCTACTGACCCTGCTGTCTTCCTTCCCTGGCTTTATACAAATACACCACCTGAGTGCAAACTGCGGATCTTTGTGGTTTTTTGGGGGTGGGGCAGGGATGTATAAAGGAAATTCTTCTCCAGGTTCCTGAACCTAGCCAATCAAGTCACTGAATGTGGCAACGTCAATAGTTGCTAGGCAGATTTTTACTGATCAAAGACCTTCTGTTCCAAGTTGGGTACCGGAGGCGGGCTTCTAAGTTTTGACATTGGACACAAACAAATGAGAAGACGGAACCACGTAAATTGCCCAATTGGGTGGCTGTATTTCTCTAGACCAATGGGAGGGAGTTGAACTATTGGTAATGAGTCAGTCAGACCATGAGAAGGACATAAATCGCATAGCAGAGGTTTCCTTGGAAGATTGCAAAGGGAGATGGGAGGTAACTTGCACGTGTCCCCTAATTTTTATCTTTTCTGTTTTGAATTCAGCAATTACACCCGCCTGCAGAGAGCAAAATCCCCTCCTCTCCCAGCCTCTTTTGGTCATTCCTGCCCCTACCCCTTTCTTTGCATTCCTCCGCCCCCAAATAGGCATATAGACTCTGCCCCCAAATTCCTAACCAAATCCGTTTGTCTGCTCGGGCGAAACATCTTTGCACCGCCTACCCTCAGTGGCTCTGCCAATCCCTTGTCTTGGTCCCGCCCTGTTCGACTCGGCCTCTCTCACGCCACCAATCCGCGCCTTATGTACTGTCCACTACCTGCCGAGTCAGCCAATCCCTCCCTTCGGGTAGCGTGACCTGGTATCCCGCAGCCCTAGCGGATCGCGCCGGAGGGAGTGGAGGCGGAAGTGGCGGCACCGGGCCGGGGGAGTAGGAAGGAGCCAGGGCTGCAGCCGGAGTGGAGCGGCTGCCAGCCGAGGAGTAGGCGCGGCCGCAGCGCCATATTGAGGCCCTAAGCGGCCGCTACCGAGTCATGGCCGAGACCTACGGTGAGGGTGGTGGAGTCGAAGGTTGTGAGTCTGGGGGCTGGACTCAGAGGATGCGGCCTGGAGAGGGAGGGAGGAAGGGCGGAGCTTAAGCGTCAAGGGGCGGGGCCTGCCGCGAAGGGGCAGGACTTTGTGGGTGTTAGGCGGGGCTTGATGTGTCTAGGGCTGAACTTAAATGAGTTTGAGTGGAGCCTGAGGGTCTGGCAAACTGGCTAAATAGAGCTGGGGACGGAATTTGAAGAAAACGGCCTGGGTGGTTCTAGCCTAGACCTAGAGGAAAGGGGTGACTATAACACATTGGGGTGGGGCTGACTGGGAGTGATTGGTAAGGTTGAGCGAAGTGGGAAAGAGTGAATCCTGAAGGGATGCTCTGAACTCTGGGGCTGATCTGGTAGAGAGATCATCGATGGGGTTGGAGATAGATTGTCCTTGAGTTACGGGTGACTCAGAGGTGGAGCTTAAGTTTGAGAATGGGAGAAGGCCTTGGGCTGAGAGAGAGAAGGAATTGGAAAATGCGGATGGAAGTACAATATAAGGTACAGTAGAAAGAGGGAGCTGCATTTATTTCACAAATAGAATAAGGTAGACGGAACCAACTTGGGAGAACCAACTTGTCTTTCTCAGGGTACAAAATGAAGGTCAGGAACTATAGTGAAATGAATGAGTCAGAGAGTGGTAGAGATGAAGTTAAACGGGGTAAAGACCAGATCAGATAGGATCCTTGTTGTCCTATTGATAAAGTGGCTTTCAAAAGGCTTTAGCAATGCAATAATTAAGATATTGATCCTGAAGCCAACTGACCTAGGTTTGAATCACAGCTCTGCTAGCTACTTCATAGTTGTGTGACCTTGGATAATCAGTTAACCTGGCCTCAATTTCTGCATCTGGAAGGTGGGGATAATTATAGTTTTTCTGAGGATTAAGTGTGAGCTGTTGATATAAGAACGCTGGCACAGGGTAAGCCCTCTATAAGCTTATCTGCTACTCTTGTTGTCTTTGCTTGTTCCTGCCTGTGTCTGTTTTTCTCCCTGTAACTGTGATGGTCTCTTGGTTGCCATCTTTTTCTCTGTGTCTTTCTCTCTCCATGGGTATCCCTGTTGCTGACTCCATTTGCCTAGACTTCCTCTTCAAATTCCTGGTGATCGGCAGTGCAGGAACTGGCAAATCATGTCTGCTTCACCAGTTCATTGAGAATAAGTGTGAGTTTCGGGGAGTGGTTCAAGGAGCTCTGGGCATGGGCATGGCATTGGCATGTGGGCAGCTGGTGGGGGTGGGCTGGTGGTAGGTGCAATCCTAGTGCTGGATGCTTGGTCCTTGCCTTGGTGTTTGCTTCCTACCAGGTCTCTTTGAGCCTCAGGAGGTAGCCCAGCAATGAGAATAGGTTTGTTGAGGAGGCTTTGGAGGGCAGGGATCCTCTGAACCCTGGCACTGCCTTCTCCTCTCTCCCTCCAATTCCTAGTCAAGCAGGACTCCAATCACACCATCGGCGTGGAGTTTGGATCCCGGGTGGTCAACGTGGGTGGGAAGACTGTGAAGCTCCAGATTTGGGACACAGCTGGCCAGGAGCGGTTTCGGTAGGTGGGCACTGGGTGGGCTGGGCCCCCAAGGAGAGAAGTTCAGAGTCACTTGAAGATTCTGAAATAGCAGATAGGAGGGGATGAGGGAGACAGGAGACCATGACTAGCAGATGCATAAAGCCAAAGACAGGGAGTCCTGGAGAGGGAGAGAACGAGAAATATAGACGAAGAGTGAGAGAACCAAACAGAAAGACTCCAAAGGGCACTAAAGAGTCAGACCCTCATTGTAGACTCTTATGGCTGGAAGGATAGAGAATGGAATGAAGAATGGAAGAATGTCTGGGAAGACAGGCAACCATTCAAGAAAGGAAGACTTAGAAAGTTAAGAGAGAGAGATGAAAACAGAAAGAGAAGGCAACTTGAAAGAGACACACACATATTCACCTGGGGAGGGACCCCCACTCCACCACCATTGAGTTGATTCTGATTCATGGAGTGATTCCACAGGAGAGAGTAGAACTTCTCCTTAGGGTTTCCAAGGCTGTAAGTCTTTACAGGAGCAGACAGCCTCATCTTTCACCCACAGAGCGGCTGGTGAGTTTGAACTGCTGACCTTGCAGTTAGCCGCCCAATGCATAACTCACTATGCTACCAAACCTTGGCAGAAACTGAAGGAGATGAAGAGAGATAAGAGAGAGAATTAGAGACAGAGACAGGGAGAGCCTTATTTTTGTTTTGCTTTGTTTTTAGCCTTTTTATGATGAATTGAATGAAGGTTTACAGAGACAATCATCAATTTTACATTCAACAGATCATGTAGTTTGTTTCATTACCTTGATTGCATTTGTCTCCATATGTACCATTAGTTAAAAGTATCTTTGTTCATTTTACCTCTTGCACCCCTCGAGACGGGGAGAGTCTTGAAGAGTCAGGCAAATGTATCCAGAGATGGAGAAATGGATGTGTCAGGAGACAGAGACACATTTGCAGAGCTCAGCACAGAAAAGGTTTTCAGAAAATGTCTGAAGAGAGTAGAGAGATACACAGAAGCCCGAGGAGAAAATTGGGAACAGAGACAAAAGTCAAGGAGAGAGAAAAGACGTACTTTAGTTTGTGGAGGGAGCTCCGGTGGTGCAATAGGATAAGCACTGGACCACAAGGTCGGCAGTTCAAACCTATCAGCTGCTCTGTGGGAGAAAGATGAGGCTTTCTGCTCCTGTAAAGACTTACAGCCTCAGAACCAATTTGACGGCATGCCACAATACAGCAATCTGTGGAGAGGTGTCTCCGGGCAGTACTGAGTAGCTGCTAAATTACTAGTTATGGGTTGATCTGCTGCACGAGGTACACAGAGCCCAGCCAGAGAGAATGGGCCAAGGAGAGATGGGTGCCCACAGGAAGTGCTGAGCAAATGCTTGTGGAGTGATAACATGAGGCTGTTGCGGGACCCTGAGCAGGCGACACAGGGAGATGTAGAATTGGCCACTGTGGGGAGAGGCGACATCCTCCAGACCCAGCAGAAGGGCAGACATGGAGTTGCTTAACTCTTGGCAGAAGCTAGGCAAAGGGGAGATGCTTAGAAAATGTGTGATGAATGAAAGAGTGAATGATGGGGTGGATGGGAAAGTGAGGGCAAGGATAAGGAAGAGAGGAAGCCAGACGCACACACGAGAAAGACAGCGTGAGACAAACCAAGGAAGAGACAGAGAGGGAGGGACTCAGACAGACCAACAGCGATTGAGCAGGTAAAGGGAGAGGCTGAGAGAGAGAGAGAGAAATTAACAGGGAAACCAGATCAAGGCCGAGCTTTGGGAGTGGGTTAGCAGTAAAGGGGGTCTCTGAAACACCAGTCTCTCTCCGCAGAGGGGGGCAATCTCAGGTTAGACCCCAGCCTCAAGGGTGACTGGGTCCCCCTGGCCCCACAGGTCAGTGACGCGGAGCTATTACCGAGGGGCAGCTGGAGCCCTGCTGGTATACGACATCACCAGGTAGGTGCTTGGTGAGGGCGGGCGGGACCTGGGCAGCTCCTCTCCTGTGCCTGCCTCCCTCCTTCCTCCCTCCACAGCCGGGAGACCTACAACTCACTGGCTGCCTGGCTGACGGACGCCCGCACACTCGCCAGCCCCAACATCGTGGTCATCCTGTGTGGCAACAAGAAGGACTTAGAGCCCGAGCGGGAGGTCACGTTCTTGGAGGCATCCCGTTTTGCCCAGGAGAACGGTGAGTGCCTGGGTGATGAGGTGGCCCTTTCTGTGGGTGACTGCAGTGGTGTATGGAGGTTCCAGGCTCTGGACTCAAGCTGTGTGGCCGCACTGGTCCTCAGTTTTTTCATCTGTTGAATGGGTTTCCCAATGTGTCTGCCTCACAGCGTGTGTGCTATGAAGGTTCAGGGAGTTTGAGGGTGGAAAGTCCTCAGCTCGTAGTGGTTGTTGAGCACTCCAGAGCTGATGTTCTCGGGCACTCCCATTCATCACAGATGGATTCTGTCACCTGAGGGAGGTGGCAAGGGTGCTGCCAACTCAGGTGGCCAGCAGGTACCAGCAGAGATTGCAAACTCGGGTGGCCCCAGGGGGACAAGCACATTTTGTAACTAATGGAGGTAGGATCAGAGTAGACATCAGGATAAAGGTACTGACACTGGGTAGACAGGATCCACAGGCCCAGTCATAGGTACATAAACTTCAGTTCATTAGAAACATCTTGTCTAAATCTTCCATGTTTGCTGTCTTGGGCTTGACTCTGTGGTCCCCAAGTTGCAGTTTCTAGGTTTAGAGAATAGGTTTTGCCCTGGCTTTCTTACTCTGAGGTCCTGGTAAATGGTTTGTGGGTCGACAGTGGTGGGACTGAGTCTATGCTAGCTGCGTCTAGGTGCACAGCCGTGAAGACAGCCATGGTCCTGGCTCCATGGGGCTCACACTCCATTGGGGATGGGGAGACAGGCTCATTTCCTGGCAGAGACAGCTCAGAGAGGCGGGGTCCAGGATGAGCAGTGGTGCACACGAAGGCATTGAGGCCCAAGACAGGGAGACTTAAGCAGAGATGTTAGAATTGGGATGGGAGGAGTCCAGGACTTGTGAGGGTCCACAGAAGACATCTGACCCAGCTAGAGAAATCAGGGAAAACTTCCTGGAAGAGGGGACATCTGAACTGAACTTGGAAGGAAGAATCGGGTGGGCGTGCAGGAGAGGAACAGCACGTACAAGGGCCTGAAGTGAGGAAACATGGAAGATTTGAGGAACAGACTGGGATGATGGGGGCAACTGACTGAATCCGTGACTCTCCTGAGCATCTGCCCCCTAGAGTTGATGTTCTTGGAGACCAGTGCGCTCACGGGTGAGAATGTGGAGGAGGCCTTCTTGAAGTGTGCTCGGACCATCCTCAACAAGATCGACTCAGGTGAGACCACTGAATGATCGTGGGGTGTGTGTGTGAGGGGAGTGGGTGAATAGTGGGGCCCAAGGCACCTCCAGGGCCTGACCTCTCATCTCTCCACAGGTGAACTAGACCCCGAGAGGATGGGCTCAGGCATTCAGTACGGTGACGCTTCCCTTCGTCAGCTTCGGCAGCCTCGGAGTGCACAGGCCGTGGCCCCTCAGCCCTGTGGCTGCTGAGACCTAAGGAGCCAGGTAGGATGCTGGGGCTCGAGGATGGCAAAGGCCATTCTCCTGGGAAGGGGGAGCATGGAGCAGAGACAGATGCAGAAAAGGCAAGAGGGCAAGAGAAACAGAGTAAGAGAGACAGATGTGAAAACACCCGAGCCAATGGAACCATCTTCCAGGCAGGTTCCAGGAACCCACTGTTCTAGCGATCCCAGATAACTCTCTCCCACAGATTCTTGGGCCTTTCCATTCATCACAGATTTATTGAGCGCCACCTGTGTTCCAGGTCTGAGAATACGGTAGCTGGTGTAACATATAAGCAGTCCCTGTCAATAAGCAGATACATAAGTAAACTTTAGAGTTTGGGAGATAAGACCTTTTCTGAGAAAAGTCAAACTGGACGTGGAGTGGTGGGAAGGGTGGAGGAGTGAGAGTTTATAGGATGATGAGGAAGGATCTCACTGAGGAGGTGGGGAAGAGGTGAGGCTCTGGGGAAAGGGCTCTAGGTACAGGTCCAGAGGTAGGGTCATGCCCAGTGTGACTAAGAGTGAGGAGGCTAGAGTGTGCGCAGTGGAGTGTGTGTGGGGTCAGGGAGGCTGCAGGAGATGAGGGTAAGTGGGGAGCAGAGGAAGGAGGATCTGTGAGGGCCTTGTGGGTCAAGGGAAGATTTTGACTTTGACCTTGAGTGGGATGGAGCTGTGGGAAGATTCTGAAGGAAAGGACATGACTTGATCCAGGCCTTCCAAGGGAGTGACTGACAGGTGGGAAACAGCCTGTCTGGGGCAGGGTTGGTAGCTGGGAGACTAGTACGAGACTCCAGGTGAGAGGTGATGGGACACAGGCCTGGGGAAGGTGGGGGGACAGAGAAGGGGAGTTGAGAAGTGGACGGGTTCTGCATCGTCCCTTGTCTCTTCCATCTCCAGTCTCCTCCCCTCTTGATGGAGCTACTGGGATCTCCCTAAAACACAAAAGTGATCCTGTCTCTCCCCTGTTTAAAACCACCCACGGCTCCCAGGAGCTCCTTTGCCTGGTGACTCCCCAGAAGGACTGGCCCCCGCCAGCCTCACCAGCTTCAGCTCATGACTCCTGCTCTTCCAGCCACAAGGATGTTCTTTCAATTTCTCTGGGCCTTTGCTCACACTGTTCCCTCTGCTAGAAGCATCATTCCTTCTGTCTTCCCTACTGTACTAATTTCCTATTGGTGTCGTATAAGAACAGAAATTTATTGTCTTTCACTTTTGGAGTGAGGAGCCTGAGATCAGGTTATAGACTTTGTTGATCTGTCAGTGGTTTGTGGGAGAATCCGTTCCGGACTTAGAGCTGCAGAGTTCCAGGGCGCCCTTCCTCTGTCTCCCTGACACTGTGTCTCTATTATGAGGACGTTCGTACAACCATTGGAGTCCTGGTGTGGTGCTGTAGGCTAAGCACTGGACCGCAAGGTTAGTTTGAACTAATTGTTGACCATTTAGCTTGTTGTTGTTGTTGTTGTTAAGTGCCGTGGAGTTGGTTCCGACTCATAGCGACCCTGCACAGGGTTTCCGAGGCTGGAAATCTTTACGGGAGCAGAATGCCTCATCTTTCTCCCGCAGAACCTCTGGTAGTTTCGAACTGCTGACCTTGTGGTTCACAGCCCGATTCGTAACCAGTACGCTATCAGAGCTCCGCTTTTTAAAAGCGCACTGGACTCATAGGTGTTGTTCTTTATTTTGTGAGCCAGTTTGTTATCAAGCTAAAAGGTAACCCCTGCTAGTTTTGGTTCAAGCTTAAAGAGTGTCACAGAGCGAAAGTCTTTGGGAATCCTCCAGTCTCAACTTGTCCAATAAATCTAGATTTTTGAAAGAATTTTAAGTTCTGTTCCACATTTTTCTCCCATGATACCAGGATCTGCTGATTGTGGTCAGAATTGATAGCCGGGCACCATTTATTTCTGGTTTCAGGGTAGATGAGGTGGAGGTTTATGTAGACAATTAGTCCCGCAGATTCGTTTCTTTTCAAGTTTTTGGTTTCCTGCTTTTTCTTTTGCTCTGGAGGAGAAGAGACCAGTATTTGTATCTTAGATGGCGGTTTTTAAGAGCCCACACACTACCCACCAAACTGGGTCATAGAACATACACTTGATAAGTATGTTATGCCAGTTGACTGATTCTATGAAATTATGGTACTAAGTCTTCACACCCAGAAAACCACACCCATGAGATGGTTGACTGTGTCTGGGAAGTATCCATAATTGTGTCACCTTTGTGTTGTAATTGTATATATTGTTGTTAAGTGCCGTGGAGTCAGTTCTGATGCAGCGACCCTGTATAGGGTTTCCAAGGAACGGCTGGTGAATTTGAATCGCTAACTTTGTGGTTCAAACCGACCTTGTGGTCTAGTGCTTTAATTCCACACCACCACACCAGGGCTCATTTACATATATATTCGACATTTGACCACAGGATTGGTTTGAGCCACGAGATCAGCAGTTCAAACTCACCAGCCACTCCTTGGAAATGGTATACAGGGTCACTATGCGCTGGAACCAACTCATCTACACTTAACAACAACCACAGAAACATATGCCTGTGTATACCTACATGGATATGCATATGCACATATACATACCTATACACATATGTCTACGTATGAGAGGGCTTCAAAAAGTTTTTTGGACAATTCTCCTTATCCTTTAATTCTGTACTTCCCCAACTTTCGAAGCCCCCGTGTATGTACATGCATATCTCTGTATCTGATTTTTGGTTGGTGCTGCTATTACAAAGTTTCATATGCCATAGCAATTCGCATTGTTGGTGTCAGATGCCTTCCAGCCAGTTCTGATTCATAGTGACCTTGTGCACAACAGAATGGAACACTGTCCAGTCCTGTGCCACCCTCACAATCATTGTGACGCTTGAGCCCATTGCTACTGCCACTGTGCCAATCCATCTCGTTGGGGGGCTTCCTCTTTTTCACTGACCCTGCACTTTATTAGTGGATGTTTGTAGCTGTTTCTTCGCATTTTGAGTTGTGCTCCATCACAGTGAAGGTCCCGAATGCTTTACTTCATTTATGTCATTGTGATCATCTCTATTTCAAGGAGGCAGCTCTTCCCCAGCCGTATTTTGGGTGCCTTCCAACCCGAGGGGCTCATCTCCTGACACTATTATATATCTGATAATATTCTGCTATTCTTACCATTTTTAGTGGCTAAACACTTGGAAGTAGACCACCTCTCCTCCTTCCTAGTCTGTCTTAGTCTGGAAGCCCCTCTGATATCTGTCCACCATGGGTGACCCTGCTGGTAACTTAAATATCAGTGGCATAGCTTCCAGAATCACAGCAACACACATGCCACCACAGTATGGCAAACCGACAGATGAGTGGTGGAGAAGTTCACCATAAATTCATTTTTTCTGGCATACGTTTCTGTCACCTTGTTTACCTTTGTCAAGCTGTGCATACTTTACTCTCATTTGGTGTTAAACCTTTTCCATCACCAAAACTAAAACAAGTGTCTGCTATCTAGGAGAGAATGAGCCTTCCTCTCCACCCCAGGCCCCGCCACCCCAATAACTACTAATGAACATTAGTTTCTGTGTATTGACCTATTATGTCATTTTCTAAGAATGAGAACATGCATTTGTTCTTTTGTGAGTGACGTAATCTCCTCAACATAATATTTTTCTAGTTTATGCATGTATGTAGTAAGATGTTTTGGGAACTCATTTTTCCTTTTCACCAAGTCCATTGTATGTGTATGCATGTGCCACATTTTACTTATCCCTCCATCCACTGATGGACACTAAAGTTGTTTCCATCATTTTGCTATTGTGAATAGTGCTGTGATGAACAGAGATGTGAGTATAGCTCTTTGTATCACGTCTGTTAGATCTCTAGGATATATACCTAGGAACGGAATTGCTGGGTCATATGATGGCTCTGCCTCTAGTCACATGACCAGTTTTTGAGGAACTCCCAGATTCTTTTCCACAATGACTGGAGCAATGGATGAGGGTTCCAATTTCTCCATATCTTCTCCAGCATTGATTATTTTCTGTTCCTTAGTTTTTATCATAGCCATTTTAGTGGGGATGAAATGGTATCTCATCCATGTTTTCATGTGTTTGTTGGACATTTGAATATCATCTTTGTTAAAGTTGTTTGTTCATGTCCTTTGCCCAGTTTTTGCTTGCGTCATTTGTTTTGTTTTTTATATTGTAGAAATTTTCTATATACTTTAGATATTAGATCCTTATATTGAAAAACTCAAAACCTCCCCAGTCTGTAGGTTGTCTTTTGACTCTTCTGATAAAATCTTTTAATGAGCATAAGTATTTAAGTTTTAAGAGGCCCCAGGTTGTCTATTTTGTTATCCATTGCTCGTGCATTCATTGTTGTGTTTGGTAATATAACATTGGGGAAAAAATAGGTCCCAAAGCTTTGCTCCTGTATTTTCTTCCGAGAACTTTATGGCCTTTGATCCATTTTGAATTTGTTTTTGTATATAGCATGAGGTGTGGATGTTGTTTCTTTTTCTGTAGAAATCCAATTTTGCCACCGCCATTTGTTGGACTGTTCTTTCTCCATTGAATGGATACATTTGACTCGCATATGGAAAATCAGTTGACCTTAGATGTTTATATTTATTTCTGGGTTTTCATTTCCCTTCTATTCATCTATGTGTCTGCCATTTAAACCTGTACCCAGCTGTTTTGATAACTGTAGCTGTGTAATGGCTTTTTTGTTTTTGTTACTTGGCTGTGCAATATGTTTTGAAGTCAGGAAGTATGAGGCCTCCTAGTTTGTTCTTCTTCACAATTGCTTTGGCTCTTTTGAGGTCTCTTGTCTTTCCATATAAAAATGGAAGATTTCATTTTTCCATTTCTATAAAGAATGCTGTTGGAGTTTTGATCAGGATGGCCTTACACTGGTAGATCACTTTGGATAGTATCGCCATCTTAACTATCTGTATTGAGTCTTCCAATCCATGAATTTGGAATACCATCTATTGATATAGGTCTTCTTTAATCTCTTTTAGCAGTGTTTTA